CCCCTCATCAATAAATAAAAGTGAAAAACACCATACAGGACAACCAAACCAAAACTAAAACCCTCTCTTAAATTCATAGTTTTGTGTATGTTTTTAATCTTTAATTCTTTATTAGTTAAGGTATTACAAATGTGTCCTCATCCCCCCCATTATAAATTCATAGTTTTAAAATAAAAATGTAAGTACTTTATCCTTCTTACTTACCCATATTTAAAAACATCCAACATTCTAACCATTGGCTCAATTATTTCAAGCATTATTCCATATAGCACAACCCTGGTTACTGAATTAAATACAGTGCAAGGTTGGGCAAAACTAGATTCATAGCTGTTGGTATGGAAAATAATACAATAAACAAATAATACAAGAACTCTTTTGCATACTCAATATTTAAGAGGAGTCAAGAACTGATAAACAGCTTCATGGAACACACTCTCTAACTTGAGTGGGACACTTTAAGGTAGATCTATATTCTGTCTTTTCTACCTATAAGAGTCGTTGAGCTAAAAAGAAACCAATTATCAAACAATTTTCTAAAGGCTCCAAAGAATTCAGAAGGTTTAAGTTTAATAAGGATAGACACAGCCCTGTGTTTAAATAGGGCTTTAATGTATAGGTAGCTTGGACATTGTCTAAGCAACCACCAGGCACACTATGACACACGATTTGAATTTGAGCCATAGGATGGCAGATGCAGAGCAAGCAGTCCTGACGCTACTAAAAGATGCAAAGGCTGACTAATGTGCTTTAAATATGACACTGCGCTTCTGGTTTTATAACAAGACAGATCATAAAATCTAAATCAGTCTAGATATATAAACTGACCAAGCCTTGATTCTTTCTTAAGATTTTTTTATTGGTTTTTAGACAGAGAGGAAGGGAGATGGAAAGAGAAACATCGATGTGAGAGCAAAACACTGATAAGCTACCTCCCACATTCCCCCCACTGGGGATCTAGCCCCACAACCCAGGCAAGTGCTCTGACCAGAAATTGACCCGGCAACCCTTCAGGGCTCGAACTGAGCCACACTAGCCAGGGCAAAACTTGATTTTTATTTTTATTTTATTAAATACTGGAGGCTTGGTGCATGAAATTCATGCACTGGGGGGAGGAGGGTGTGCCTCAGGCCAGCCTGCACCCTCTCCAATCTAGGTTCCCACGGGGGATGTCCAACTGCCGATTTAGGCCCTGATCACAATCCAGGACTGCTGGCTCCCAACCACTCGCCTGCCTGATCGCCCCTAACTGCTTCTGCCTGCCAACCTGATCACCCCCTAACCAAGCCCCTGCCAGCCTGATCAACACCTTAACTGCTCCCTGCCGGCCCGATTGCCCCCAACTACCCTCCCCTGCCGGCCTGGTCGCCCCCAAGTGCCCTCTCCTGCTGGCCTGGTTGCCCCCAACTGCCCTCCCCTGCTGGCCTGGTCACCCCTAACTGCCCTCCCCTGCTGGTCTGGTCGCTCTTAACTGCCCTCCCCTGCAGGACTGGTCCCCCCCGCAACTGCCCTCCCCTGCCGGCCATCTTGTGACCACATGGGGGCAGCCAGCTTGTGACCACATGGTGGCCACGGAGCCAATCAAGCCTTCTTTTTTTCTTTTCACAAGCCTTGATTTTCAATAAAAATCTGTATGTCCACCAAAGAAACAAAAAGTCCCAATTAAGGTTGCCATGAGGTCTGCAGCACAGTAGAAAGAACTTGTATAAAAGTAAAAATATTTTTATAATCACTTTACCTTGGCAATTGAACCCACAGCTCAGAGTTCACAGAATGAAAGCAAACCAAGAGCAGATTAGGGGTTGGGGGGACTGGGTGAAAAAGGTGAAGGGATTAAGAAGAACAAATTGGGCCCGGCCAGTGTGGCTAAGTGGTTGGGCATCAACCTATGAGCCAGGTCAGGGCACATGAACAGGTTGCGAACTTGATTCCCAGTGTGGGGTGTGCATGAGGCAGCTGATCAAAGATCCTTTCTCATCACTGATACTTCTCTCTCTCTTTCTCCCTCTCTCTTCCCCTCTGAAATCAAGAAAAAATATATTTGGGGGAGGGGGAAGGAGTACAAATTGGTAGTTACAAAATAGTCACAGGGATGTAAAGTACAGCATAGACAAATATAGCCAAGAAAATTTTGATAACTATGTATGGTACCAGAGGGGTACTGGAAATACTGGGGAGAACACTTTGCAAAATATATGATTGTCTAATCACTGTTTGTACACCTGAAACCAATACAAAGTAATACTAAAAGTAAGCTGTAATTGAAAAATAAAATATTAAACCTGTGTTATTGGTTTAAAAAAAAAAGAAAACCAGCTAGTCATTGTTGGGACATCTGAGATAACAGAGTTAGAAATTAGAGAGCAAATGTTTGCATTACCTTTCTGGTTTACTTAAGTCCTTATATCAATACACCACAAGACGAAAGGAACCAGCGAACTAAAAATAAAAGTTAACTACCAGACATGTTGTTGCTTTAATCTTCACAGAATACAGGAGAGCTGGGTCTGTGAGTGGCATGCTGCTTAGGCAGTGCTTCAGATAAGAGGACCATTTGCTTATTTCCAGGAAGTGCATATTCACAACTCTAATAGTGATAATGATGATAGTAGTAATAATAATAATAATAATAATAGCATTTACTAAGTGCTTACTTCACACCAGGCACTGTACAAAGGACTTAATATGTAACACAGTAACCCTCACGAAAGGCCTGTAAGATGGTGTTATCCCCATTTTACAAAGACAGAAATAGCTACCCCACAATCTCAGTGAAAAATAATGAAGGAACATGTTCTGAATGGACCAAAGTTCCTTTAAGTGTCATGGTAAACATGACTTCTAACCTAAGTCATGAAATATAAAATAACTATCTGGGAACTAGGTCCCTCCCCACCAAAATTTGTTCTTTCAATTAGTTATGAATGAGCTCCCCTGGAATCTCCTCAAAGAGAAGGGTATGGTTCCTACAAAGAAAGTATGCCCAGCTACAACTACATAAGTTACCCATCTCAAATTACCTGTGATGATTTTATACTAATTTTAAGAAACTAGTCTAGCATCTCGGGTACTGAAAGGCTAAGAAGGAAGAAGTATGGCTGAAAAATAAGCAGTTCCTCACTCCAATAACTACGAAATAGAGAAAAACATGCAACAAAGCATTTTTTTCAATGCTGATTCCCTTTCCCACTAAAACATCATCCCCACCCTACCATATCACTGCTCCCTCAGACAGTCAAGTTAAACTGTCTCATCAGCCAGACATAATAAGACTACACAGAATTCCACATTCCCTTCCCCATCTCCTTCCCCCACAGGCAAGTATCCCTTAACCTAGTGGTCGGCAAACTCATTAGTCAACAGAGCCAAATATCAACAGTACTTCTTCAAAATAGACTCGCCCAGGCCGAAAACCAACTTCTGCGCATGGGCCACAAAGTTTCAATCGCACTGTATGTGCGCACCCGCACGTGGTATTTTGTGGAAGAGCCACACTCAAGGGGCCAAAGAGCCGCATGTGGCTCGCGAGCCACAGTTTGCCGACCACGGCAACCCGTAAGGGACCCCATGAGACTTGCAACCAGGGGAGCAATGGGCAGCAGCAGCTCGTCCCAGGCTAACCCCCTGAACCTGTCCCCAAGGCCCCCTTTTCTCTGACTTCCAGGTGAGCCAGAGCAGCCCAGCCTAGGCACTATTGCTCCTTCTATGCCCTTCGTTGTGTCACTGCCCTGAGTTTTTGCTGTGGTCAATAAATTCTTGCTTGCTTTCCTAAAAAAAAAAAAAAAAAAAAAAAAGGAAACTGGTCACATTTCCAAGTAGATATAATCCCCGAAGCAAAAGGCCAGGTAGCTTTCCCCAGGAACTTAAAAAGAGTTTTTGTTTCCCTAGTTATAAAATATGCAGGTGCTCTAAAAGTAAATGTAAGGTAGAATTGTCTAAATCTGCCCAATTTTCTGTAAACATTAGGACTTTGTAAATGCTGACAATAAATTCAGATAAAATGAAGAAAAGATTCCTAGAGAAACACCTAAAAAATTAACACTTAAAATAGGGAGTAAGTCTATAATTTAGTAAGCCTTAAATGGTTATTTGCTTCAAGAGACTACCTATCAATATCCAATTAAATTCCTTACCAAGTTATTTTAGGTAGCCAATAAATCTTCCAACTATTACATACAATTTATCTCCTAAAATGGCTAGCTTCCTCAGAACAGAGGCTGTTTATAAACTACAACTTGCTTATCTATACTCTTCTCCTACAGACACACACCCAACATCATTTGAGCCATTTCTCTGAGAGATATGGCTGCTTTTCAAGTTTAAAAACTGCTTCCCAATTGAACTAAGAATTGAAAACAAAACAAAAATTTTAAACCCTGCTTTCTTTTTATTTATAACAATGCGGCCAGTAGTTGGTTGGTCTGTCATTTTTATAATGTACAACTACAGAATGTCACATGCAATTAGAGAACACATTTAGGGCCGAAAATGCTTTCCAACTTAAGCAAGATATATTTATAGATCGTCAAACACAAGTAGCTTCAAGAGCAGTAAAATTTTTCTGCCCCATAGCCATAGCCCACTAACATATACTCTTCCCCCCTTTTCTTCAGTTTGGATTAAAGCATAACCTCTTGCAGGAAAAGAGCCTTTCACTGGCCGGTGTTTTGTTGTTATTAATCCTCACCAGAGAATATTTTCTCCATTGATTTTCAGAGAAAGTGGAAGGGAGAGAGACAGAGAAACATCAATGTGAGAGACATCGATTGTTGCCTGCACACATCCGACTGGGGCCGGGATCAAGCCGGCAACCAAGGTATGAGGCCCGTGCCCTTGTCCGGAATTGAACCCGCAACCCTTCAGTCTGCAGGCCTATGTCGACAATAAATTCAGATAAAATGCAAAACCAGCTAGGGCCTAGCTAGTGTTTTGTTAAGCTATTCTAACCTGCTCTGAGAGGCCTCAGAACTCTGTAATGGCCCCTGGCAAGGCTGGACTTCCCAGCCAAGTTCAGTTTTTAAAAGAAGTTCAAAGATTCTTCCATCATCTTAGAGCTATACTGGTCTCTGGAAACCAAATCATTCATTTAATTTCATTAAGTTTTTAACATCCTATTATGCATGGTTTAGCACTCAGCTGAATTCCATCTCAGTGCGTGTCTAATATTCTGAACTGTTATCAATCAATACTACTTTAAATTCCTGGCTAAGCAAGATCTAGATCAAGACACTGAACTCTAACCAAGTAGCTTAATTATTTTCAGTGTTCCAGCACTACAATAACAGTATGTAAGTATTTTTCAATAACAAACATGCTTCCTAACTAAAAACTTTCATTTATAAAACCTGTCAGGGTATTGCTCTGGCCGGTGCGGTTGAGTTGACTGAGTGTTGTCCCATGTACCAAAAGGTTGCTGGTTCAATTCCCAGTCAAGGCACATGCCAGTGTTGTGGGCTCAATCCCCAGTAGGAGGTGTGCAGGAGGTAGCCAATCTATGTTTCCCTCTCTTCCTCTCTCTCTAAAATCAATAAACATATTCTTTAAAAAAAAAAAAAATGCCAGGGTATTGAAATGATTTAATTGGGATTTTCTTCAAAATAATCTGGTTGGGCCCTAGCAGGTTTGGCTCAATGGATAGAGCATCAGCCTGCGGACCAAAGGGTCCCGGGTTCAATTCCGGTCAAGGGCACATACCTCGGTTGCAGGATCCTCTCCTGCCCAGGCCCTGGTCAGGGCTCAATCAGGAGGCAACCAATCAATGTGTTTGTCTCACATAGATGTTTCTCTCTGTCTTTCCCTCTCTGTCCCACTCCCTAAAAATCAATGGAAAAATATCCTCAAGTCAGGGGAAAAAAAATCTGGTTGGGGGAGGGGAGCTGTAACTGGGGATATAGAAGAAAGAAGATTGGCCATGAATTTATTAAACTTTTCTTTCTACTTCTGTATATGTTTGGAATTTTTCATAAGTTACACACATACTTCAAGATACCCATTTCCTGGCAAAATGCTCACCTTCTGAGTATTTCCCAACAATCTCCCATTTCTCTAAACATAGATCCCCTGCTTCAGAAGTGCTATTTCCAATGCTTGAAAAATGTCCTACTGTGACAGATTTAAGCTATTAACCCATAAAGGATCCTAACAGATGGTTCAATGGGTAGGACGATGCAGGCAGTTTTCAACTCTAGGATCTTCCTAAGAAATTCTATAACGTTATAGAAGCAAATGCCTGAGACGCTGAACACAATCAGAAGTAGTTTTCTCAAAACAAACTGTACACTCTTTGAATAAATCTAGCTTCTAATCTGTTCTAACTGAAATGCTGGGAGACTAGTAAAATGCAGTAAAAGTTGTACTATCCCGGCTTGCAGTGGGTAGGTACTCACTGCCTTCTTGTCAACACAGCCCACATATCATTCCAGCAACAGGGAAGGAGTCCAGCAATATATACCAAACGAACAATTCCTCCCACAGCCTCTGTATAACATCAGTATAGTAAGAAAAGTAAAATAAAGCCAGTGTAACAGGAAAGTATGCTCCCTGGTTCTAACCTTTTTAAGTGGAAGAAACATAGGCTTTCCCTCCACTAATATTAACAATTCCATAGTTTTACCTAAACCACTTCTGCCATTGTCAGACAGCTATTTTAAAAGTCAAGCGCAGCAAAATGCTATAATGTCTACTAAAAGATAGTAAACTACTGGAGTAAATTACTGTAACAAAGACCTGTTTTCCTTTCATTCCTCAGGACATTACAGATGACATTAAATCTATATTACTTTTTTTTAAAGAAACTTGTTTATTGGGGGGCAAGAGGATACAAGCAATATAAAAATCAAAAGTTTATCTGGCTTTATTGGCTTTTCTTTCTCTTGGTCAATGGGGTGGGATTTTATTTGTACATTTTTTTAAGGGTCCCAATCTGTTCATGAAATCCTTATATAGGGGGAAGCTGTGGGGCACATTGGGAGAACTCTTATCAGGGCAAAATAACTGCTCACTTCCTTCCCTTCTGTTTCATGTGTACTATGAAATAGTCATTGCATGTGATGGTGAGTCCAGCGATTAGCGAAAAGAAGCTCTGGAAGCCCACTCTGTCGTCTCAGCACTGGTCCAGGTCCTTCATTATTTTGTCTACAGCCAGAGGGTTTTTTTTGATTTTCCAAAAATCCAGGGAACTCCTTTTCCATGAGTACTCTTAGGTCCTCCTTTGTTAAGTAGCCTTTATCCCCAGTAAACTTATGAAACGTGAACATCATGGTTTCCATAGCGTGTTCCATTTGAGACAGTATTTTGGTGAGGTCTTGGTGGGAGGTATAGCAGGATCGTCGGCTGCTGGGATGCGCAGCCAGTCTAAATCTATATTCTTAAAGGTTAAACACTAGATACTGATATAAACTGAAAACTTACTGTTTCTCCATATCTTCTGAAGACTTTTAAAAAGTCACATATTGGCTGGTGTGGCTCAGTGGTTGAGGGATGACCTATGAACCAGGAGGTCATGGTTCAATTCCCAGTCAGGCATATGCCCAGGTTTCAGACTCAATCACCAGTTGGGGGCATGCAGGAGGCAGCCGATCGATGTTTCTCTCTCTCTTCCTTCCTCTCTCTGAAATCAATGAAAACATTTTTAAAAATTCACATATTGTATTAAGGACGGTGATTACTCAATCTCATGGAAACTAAGCCTTGTCTGCATCTCCTTAGGAAAGGATTAGGTACTATAACATTAGAATTCAGATATGTGGTATTACTACCATCCAAGGAGAGAAAATTCAACTTTGACTGGTAACCTTTGAGCAAGCAAAACCTTGCTTGATAAACTTGGTCATTCCATTCAAAATATAAAATTCAGCCTTTTGGCAGGAACTGCCATCTTCCAGTAATTTGCCAAAGTGACTAACACAAAGGGAAAGAGAAGAGGCACCTGCTATATGTTCTCTAGGCCTTTTAGAAAAGATGGAATTGTTCCTTTGGCCACATATGTGCAAATCTACAAGAAAGGTGATAATGTGGACATCAAGGGAATGAGTGCTGTTCAAAAAGGAGTGCCCCACAAATGTTCCCCTGGCAAAACTGGAAGAGTGAACAATGTCACCCAGCATGCAGTTGGCTTTTTTGTGAACAAGCAAGTTAAGGGCAAGATTCTTGCTAAGAGAATTAATGTACGTATTGAGCATATTAGGCAGTCTAATAGCCAAGATAGCTTCCTGAAACATGTGAAGGAAAATTATCAGAAAAAGAAGGAAGCCAACGAGAAAGGTACCTGGGTTCAACTGAAGCGTCGGCCTGCTCCACCCAGAGAAGCACACTCTGTGAGAGCCAATGGGAAGGAGCCTGAGCTGCTGGAACCCATTCCCTATGAATTCATGGCATTGTAAGTAGAAAAAATAAAGATGACTTCTGTGCTGATAAAAATGTTTCTCTTAATTGAGTAGAAGTGTGGTGTCCCTTCCCCCAAAGAATAATTAAAGAAAACTTTGTGACCTTAAAAAAAAACAACCCATAAAATTCACAGTAAACTGCCACTATGGCGAGAACTTAATCCTTCTGAGCTTAGGAAATAAAAAATGTGGTACAAAATAAACCCCAATACTAGATCTAAACAGCCTAAGCATACATTCCATTAGCCAGAAAAAGACAATATCTTAAAGAGACAATTAACATTTACTGAGTGCCTACCATGTATCAGGCAATTCTGCTTAATGCTTCCCCTGCCATCTCATTTAAAATGTAAATTAACCCCTGAGGTAGCTCCCATAATGACAAGTTACAGATTGAAAACTAAAACAAAGATCAAACACTTGCTTATGACCACAAATATAAAAAATGTCAAGGCAACAATATCAACCCAGGTCTGTCCATTCTGGAGTCCAGGAATCAAACTATTCTGTGGATATCATTATCATGAGAATCTTGAAGAAACTCAACAAATAATCCAACATTTAAACTTGGAAATAAAACAGACAAGTTCAGCTTTCTTCTCCAAGATCAACTTCAAAGTTTATGTAAAATAAATAAGCTATTTGTATAAAAGAAAGAAATTCTGCATTGAAAGAGTGAATTGGCGAGATGACTTTTATAGTCCTTTAAACTCGTAAATCTCCAAAATTAATTCCAAGTGGTCAGAATTAGAATTACATTTATCAGGATTAATACCACAGATCCAATAATCTCAGGCAGTTTACTTCATGATATCAGCCCAGATTACTCCATTCAAACCTCATTTTCTGATATTTTTGTCCAGATTTCTCTAATATTTTCTTCTCATTTGGTAATTTATTTCCAATTTTCATTAACAGGTATCTTAACTGCTGCATCCAAGTATACATAGAAAAATTAAAAGGGCAAATCTGAACTAAATGCTCCAAACAGAAAATGTTCTACAATGTAGGGAAGTAACTTATATCTTGCAACGAAGGGGTTAACATAATCCATTCCCATGTCTAAGTACTTTCACAACAACACTACTCATTTATTAACACCAATGTGTGCAAAGCTCCCATCATTTCCGAACCTCAGGTTGTTCAAGAAATTGTACATTCACCTCATCAGACTCAGGAGAAAGCAGTACTAAGTATTACGTTAACAGTAATTTTCTAGCTTAATATTTTTCAACCCAAGCAGAAGGACTTGTAGACTTAAGTATATGCCAACGAGTAGAAGTTGGGAGTGAAACATTCATTAAATGAACCAAAACCACGAAACACCATTTTCCAATTCATACAAAACTTTATCTGCACAAATATTTAAAAATTTTGAGAACTTTATGAATAAGAGTCTTCACATGATGGGCTTGAGACTTCTGAAGCTACTTTTAAAAAATGCCATAGTCATGTTTCTGAAGCCATATGCTAAGCCCGCAGGAGTGTTCACCAATGAACCAGGAGGGTAAATCTGGATCACACCTGAGAGGATGCCCTGGCCCCTCTCCAATCCAGCCTCCAAATCTTCCATCTCTCGTGTGAAGACGAATGTCACTCTGTCAACTTGACGGTTTCCGGTCGCTGTGGACTGCCTCGTTTCTGGTCAGTAACTGCCGGCCCTTTCAGCACTCAGTTCACCCTTTCACCACAGGGTGTGGGCAGGGAGGCGAAAAGTTATTTCGCTTTACTATTTCTCTTGCGTTAAAAAGTTAAACTTAAGCCACAATAGTTCCCTTGTCTAATTGTACCAACTCTATAACCGGGCCTTCGGGGACATGAATGAATGACTGGCTCTGGGGAGACAGGCGCTCGAACAGGCGGGCGCGTGGCGAGGTGTCCCATATGGGACAAGCCCGGGGCTCCATCCCCACGTCGCCAGCCTCATCGCGGCCAGAGGCTCCGGACCACGAAGTTTGCACGTGGGCCGCCCCGCCGCTGCTGTCACCTCCCGTCATCAGTTGGCGGGTGGGATGCAGGCCGGGGCGCGGACCGACAAAGG